CCACACTCACACACTCAACTTTTCCATCTGTTGAGTTATTTATGCTTCTTCTATCTCAAACAGTCCTTCCTCCATTTATGCACAACATTAAAATTCCCTTCACCTCTCTTACTCCAGAACTCTCCTTTTTATCTCTTAGGTTTTACTTGCTGCTGTATCATTCTCACCAGTACCCAATTTTGCTGTTAACTCTCCAACTTTAACAACAGACAAATATTACTCTTGGTATAAACTTCCAGTTATAAGATAAATCCCAGGGAAGTAATGTACAGTATGGCAACTATAGTTAACAATACTATATTGTAGGGCGCCTGGGTGGCTCAGTTGGTTAAGCGACTGCCTTCAGCTCAGGTCATGATCCTGGAGTCCCGGGATCGAGTCCCGCATCGGGCTCCCTGCTCAGCAGGGAGTCTGCTTCTCCCTCTGACCCTCCCCCTCTCATGCTCTCTCTCTCTCTCTCTCTCTCATTCTCTATCTCAAATAAATAAATAAAATCTTTAAAAAAATACTATATTGTATATTTGAAAGTTGCTAAGAGAGTAGATTTTAAAAGTTCTCATTGCAGGAAAAAAAATTGTAATTATGTGTGTTGATGGATATTAACTAGACTTATTGTGGTAATCATTTCACAATACATACACATAGCCATCATTATGTCTTATGCCTAAAACTAATACAATGTAATCTGTGAATTATATTTCAGTATATTTAAAAAAAAAAAGAAGCATCTGGAAGAAATGCACTTTTGGCAGGGCTTTAAAAGAAGGACAAGTGGTTACTAATGGAACGGCAGTGACAAAGAAAATAAGGTGGCTAGAAGTAGTCTCTTGGGGGGGAAGCCTGTTGAGACTGCTGACAGAAATTGATTTTTTAAAAAATTCGTACGGACTTTTGGGGCACCTGCGTGGCTCGGTCGTAAAGTGTCTGCCTTCCACTCAGCTCATGATCCGGGGTCCGGGATCGAGCCCCGCATCGGGCTCCCTGCTCAGCGGGAACCCTGCTTCTCCCTCTCCCACTCCCCCTGCTTGTGTTACCTCTCTCACTGTGTCTCTCTCTGTGTCAAATAAATAAAATCTTAAAAAAAAATAAAAATAAATAAATAAATAAATAAAATTGCAGCTAAAAAGAGCAAACAGTAAAATTGAAACCAAATGAAACAGTTGAACTTAACTGTATATCAAGTTGCTCCCATAAACTCAGAGAAACAAGAATTATTTCAAGTGACTTTTGTACTAGGCACCCTGACTGAGCATCCTTACTATGACACAGCCTAAGGACAAAAAGATTTTTAAAGAAGACTTAAACATCACTTGCTTGATGTATTGATACTGATATTTTAGTATTTGTATTTGAATCTAGAAACTTTTAATTTTTTGTTTTTTAGTGATCAGCAATTTTATATATTACTCAGTGCTCATCAAGATAAGTATACTCTTAATTCCTTTCACCTATTTCATCCATCCCACCATCCACCTCCCCTCTTGTAACCATGTGTTTGTTCTCTATAATTAAGTCTCTTTTTTATGTTGTTTCTTTTTTTTTCCTTTGTTCATTTATTTTCTTTCTTAAATTCCACATGAGTGAAATCATATGGTATTTGTCTTTCTCTGACTATTTTGTTTAGCATTATACTCTCTAGATCCATCCATGTTGTTGCAAATGGCCAGATTTCATTCTTTTTTATGGTTGAGTAATATTCCATAGTGTGTGTGTGTGTGTACCACATCTTCTTTATCCATTCATCTATCAATAAATACTTGGGCTGCTTCCATAATTTGGCCATTGTAAATAATGCTGCAATAAATATGGGGATGCATATATCCTTTAGAATTAGTGTTTTCATAAATACCAAATAGTGGAATTACTAGATCTTATGGTGATTCTGTTTTGAAAATTTCGAGGAACCTCCATACTGTTTTCACAGGTGGCTGCATCAGTTTGCATTCCCACTAACAGTGCATGAAGGTTCCTTTTTCTCTACATCCTCATCAACACTTGTTGTTTCCTGTGTTCTTGATTTTATCCATTCTGACAGGTGTGAGGTGATATCTCATTGTGGTTTTGATAGGCATTTCTTTGATGATGAGGGATGTTGAGCATCTTTTTATGTGTCTGTTGGACATCTGTGTGTCTTTGGAGAAATGTCTGTTCATGTCTTCTGCCCATTTTTTAATTGGATTATTTGTTTTTTTGGTGTTGAGTTGTATAAGTTCTGTATATATTTTGGATACTAACCCTTTATCAGATATGTCATTTGCAAATATCTTCTATTCAGTAGGTTGTCTTTTAGTTTTGTTGATAGTTTGCTGTGCAGAAGCTTTTCATTTTGATGTAATCTAAAAACTTTTTAATATATTTTGAAAGGAGCAAGAGTAAGAGAAATGAGATACAAATGTAGAATCAATACAGAAAAAAGAATCTGTTAAATTTGAATTGGAAATCAATATATGAACTCATAATTTAAAAAATACATTTCCTATCTCTGAACACTAAAAAGGCCTAGAAACAATGACACCCAGTAGCAAAGAACATCTATTGCCCACATTTTGTTTCTATTACTATTTCCAAACTGAAGGAACCAAGGTACCTTGGGAAAATGAGTGAGTCTAGGTCTGTGACAGGGAGTGTACAATTCTATAAGAGGGAAGATACATAAGTGAGTCTAAGACATTTTGTGCAAGTAAGTCAGGAAGTTTTCCAAAACTAATGGCATCATGTCAAAAAGACATGGGACCCAGTCACCCAGTATAAAGGGGCTTATACTGGATCCAAAAGAATAATGATTACAATTGATTGAAACAACTTAAGTCTTAAAAAACTCATGAAACCACAATGATACTCAAAGAAAAAAAGCCAGAAAAAAACTCATTTTCTACTAATTGAAGGAGATGTTAAATCAAAACCTTTGCTTTGAAAATTTATCATTAAAGGGAAAAAATTAAGCAGTTACCCTGCTTTTAAAAATTAAGCAGTTACCCTGCTTTTATGTATTAATGAGGAAGAGTTCTTTTTCACAGAAGAACTTTCTATTAATGCAGAAGGAATAATAGAATTAAAAAAATTTTATTTAATCACCAAGTATTTCACTATTAATTCAGGAAAGATTTATTGATGGGTGACCAAACTGTGGTGAAAATTTGTTGGAGAACAGGAAATTAGCACTGTGCCAATGCCTTACTCTGCAATTACCTGCTCATTAACTACAAAGGGTAAAATATACCTAAAGGAGAGAATGGATAGTCACCACCCAAACAAGTGATCAAACGCAGCATCAAATTAGTAATTTGATGTATCTCCTGACATAATACAAAATGAAGTACATAGCTATACCTGTGACATATTCTTGCCAAAAAAAAATTTTTTTAAAGATTTTCTTTATTTATTAGAGAGAGAGCACGGAGAGAGGAGAGTGAGAAGCAGACTCCCTGGGGCTCCATCCCAGGATCCTGAGATCATGACCCAAGCCAAAGGCAACCACTTAACCGACTGAGCCACCCAGGCACCCCTTTTTGCCAAAATGTTTAACCTGAATCTTATCACTTCTTTAGAGCACACTTTTGGATATATCCAGAATATGGGACATTCCTGGAGAAAACCAGCCTGCTTCTCCCTCTGCCTCTGCCTACCACTCCTCCGGCTTGTGCTCTTGCTCTCTATCAAATGGATGAATAAAATCTTAAAAAATATATATTAGGAAAAACCAGCATTTGAGTCCAACTTTGAAGAATAGAACGTGAATGCTATTCTTTTGTGTGCGAATACTATTCTTAAAGAGTTATTCTTACATTAATCATAGACAAAGAAAACAGATAAAAAGCAAACTATGTGACACCAAATCTGGAGATAACTACTTTTAATCTTTTAATATTTTAAATGTGTGTGTGTGTGTGTATCTCCTATATAATGTGCACTATTTTTGCATTCTTTTTCAGGTAACAGTATCATGGATATCTGTCAGTCATTGTACATTAGCATCAGTTTACTGGCCCCATAACATTCCATTGTAGAGATGTTTTGTAATATATTTAATGTCCTCTATTGTTGGATGGTGCAATAAACATTTACATCTTTGTGTTAATATATGTCTTTTGTTCATGTGGCTGATTACTTGGAAGGGTAAGAATTCAGGCTGTGGAAAGGGTGGTGGAAATAGAAGCAGAGGCACGGAGACTGAAAAGAATAAGGTGTGTACGGGAAAAGCTGAAGTTTACTTTGGCATGTAAGCCGCCACCAGCGAGGATAAAAGGAGACACGGTAAGATGATCTTTAACTGGAAATTAGTTTGAGAAGAGACCTGTTCTCACTTAATCTTGGGCTATGACAGACCTGCTCTGAGCACTTTTACAGTTACACCTTATTTAAATTGCGAGTACTACTGTTATGCCTATCTATAGGCAAGGAAACTGAAGCATGTTACCCATCAAGTGAGGGATGAAGCCAGGATTCAAACAAATGGAGTCTGGCTCCAGAGCCTGAGTGCTATTTTCTCTCTACTTTGCATACGAGGAATCACGGTGAGATGCTGAGCTTAAACCCGGGCCTTACAGACGTTAAAACCTTAGACAAACAGTAGGAGACAGTGGCGGTATAAATTAATATGGGCTCGATCTGTTCCTCTCATCTCTAAGAAGCATATAAAACCTCGATATATTCCTTATCTCCAAAGTATAGAAGGCATTTAAACTTAGCATTGCTCCCTAAGATGGCCAGTTTGCCTGAACTAAACTGATTGGCAGTCAGGCTTCAACGGTGGAGAACCAGGTTCCACAGCTTGATAATAAAATTCCAAAAGGCGCGCGAGCCTCCGGGCTAAACTGTTTCCCGCCTCCCAGCCGGTCGTAGCCAGCTCATCAACAGCTCCCTTACCCCAGGGTCGTGACGTCAGCACACGCATTGGGCCCACCTCTGGGTTCTCTCTGCATCTGCGCGGCCGAGTAACTGGCGAGTTGGGATCTTAGCTCCGCCCACTGCCCCGGAAGTTAATGCAGAAGCCACACCTCTCTCCTCGTCCGGCAGGGGCGCAGCCATTTTAATTCATATCTGAGTGGGCGGTGGCGATTCGTCTTGGCGGTCTGGCTCCGCTGGGCAGGGGGTAACTTTACTGGTTTGGGTGGTTTTTAGTTTAATTTTTCTTTTCTAGCTTCGCATCGCGGGCCAGTTCTCCCTTTCTAATCAGCTGAGGCCATGTCAGGAGACGGCGCCCCGGAGCAGGTGAGGAAAGAGAGTGGTGGGGCCTCGTGGCGACCTCTTCTCTCCACGTCTGTGTTCGTCCGACTACTCCAGCCATGTTCGCCTGAGGAAGGAATCGGGGTCTAATGGATCCGGAGGACCGGGTATAGAAGAATGGTGGAACGGGGAGCAAGAGCTGAGAGTTGAAATTATTTTTTGGCTTCTCTGTCTTAGGCGTTAATATGAACAAATATTTGATTTAGACAATAGTCAGGAAGCTGCTTCGTCCTGTTTAGGTTCATGAGACTACTCCTGTGGGATGCCTTGCTTTGATACCATATTGTTTTGATATTAGGGTGCGTAGGAATTGATGACTTCAACGTGTAGTCGCTGTTTTCGAAAAACTTGACAGTGTTTCCTCTGCCCCCTGTCCAGTAAACCCAGAAATAGGTTACCAGTTTGAGAAATAATCGGAGATGAAATTCATCTGGAGAAATAGTCTCTTGCCAGTGCGAATGAAGAAGGAAGTAGTGTAGGAGAAGAGCATGGTTATGCCGAGATTTGGGAATTGTGTGGCTTTCTCCTGCTTCCTTTTTCTCTTCTGTCCGCATTCCATTTTCGTTTTTCAAGCGACACAAATATTGCAGAATTTGATAAATCGGAAATGAGAAGTCTGTTTTGGCCACTGTAAATAAAAGCATATGCTTTAGTGCTGGATGTAAGTGACCTATAGATATTTTAAAAATCAGATATTTAGTAAAATGATTTGCTTCTTTTGCTCTTTATTCAGAATTTTGGTAAATACTACCTTTTAGTTTGAAAGAGGAAACATACCTTATGAAAGATGTCATTCAGTTTGTTTTTCGATTTAAGTCCTGGTACTTTTAGGTAAATAGTTTTTAAAATGGAGGCTAGCTAGCTTGCAGAGTCTCAATTTCCTGAAATTTCCCGTTGCCATGGTAACGAACTACACTTAGGTTTTTGTTTTTTAAGTCCCCAGCTTAGAAGGTAGAGGCTGTTCTTGGAGGTTGACAGAGATGAGGCAAAGTTGCGGTTCCTCTTGAATAGTCTGGGTGATTGTAAATGTCATTATGTCGGGAAAGCTTGCTAAACTAAATTTTGTGTTTGCTCGTTGACTGATTTCAGTACTGAAATCTTCTGTTTACGTTTTACATGCTGTCACAATGCCCAAGAATGCAAAGTCTCAAGTCTCAAAATCATATCAAATCTGTTTATGTATAACTACCATTTTTCTGAGATGGGCTCATATTTTGTCACTTGAAAGCTGAGGAGTAGTAATGTCCTAAGGTTTCATTGAAAGTTTCCAGAACTTGTTAATTATTAAATTTATCTAAAATTATAGACACCAAAATGTCATGACCTTGAATACTTCAGAACTGTGATGTTTTAAATGGAAGAGATGGTGGTGAAAATTTACGAGAAAAATTAACCTAAAAGTTTTACCGTGCAAAGTTTAGTACATAGAAAAAAGTTGAAAGAAAAGAGCATGAACACCTGCAATACAGTTCTTCACCTAGAATCAACAATTGTTAACCGTTTTTCCTTGCTTGTTTTATCTCTGCATACTTATTTATTTGAAAGTAAGTGGACACATATTTCAGCCCCTTATATTTCATCATTCTTTTATATAAGGACATTGATGCAGTTATATAACGAATCCATTTTCTCACCTAAGAAAATTAATAGTAATACTATCATTTCTGAAGCCCAGTTCCTGTTCACATTTCCCCAGTTGTCCCAAGAATATGATTCATAGGATTTCTTTCTTTCTTTCTTTTTCTCTTATTTTACTTTATCAGAATCTAATCTGGGTTTACATCATTTAGTTACGTCTCTTGAATAATCCCCCTCCCCCCCCGCCCCTTCTCCTAGGGATACTGTTTGAAGAATCCAAGACAATTTTCTAGTAAAACTCATTTTCTGGGTTGATTTGATGTTTGTGTATGTGTGGTATCATTTAACTTGTCCCTTCATCTTTTGTTATTTCCTGAAAATTTTGTGGTTGGTTAGGTCTAAACTGAGAGCTTTGATAATATTTGGCTTAAATATTTTTGAGTAGAACGGTATAATGTTACATCAAAAGGCACTTCATGCCAGGTTGTTAGGTTATTCCACTATTAGTGATGGTTGTTTGATTATTTGGGTAGGGTGATGACTGCTGGGTTTCTTCATTGTGAAGGATTAGTTTTCTCCTTTGCAGTTAGTAATTTGCGGGTTGATTTTGTGTTCCTCAACCTTTTAACTAGTTATTTGTCAATTGATAATTTTTTATTATGTTTGTCAGTTGATAATTCTTGAATAAATCAGTTATTATTGGAGGTGGCAAATGGTGGTGTTTTAAAAATTCTGTTCTTTCTGACTGGCTCATATTTCTCTATAAAGAATTTTTTTTTCTTTCTCCTTTTTTTTTTTTTTAAGATTTTATTTTGGAGAGAGAGAGCACCTGCAAGCATGCAAGTGGGGGTGGGGGAAGGAGCGGAGAAAGAATCTCAAGCTGACTCTGCCCTGAGCGTGGAGCCCCGTGCGGGGCTCAGTCTCAGGACACTGAGCTGAAACCAAGAGTCAGATGCTTAACCGGCTGAGCCATCCAGGCGCCCCATTTTTCTTTCTCCTTTTTCAAGGATGTTACTGTGTATTCATGGGTTTCTCTGTATTTAGTGTTAAAAAAATAAGCGATAGTTATTTTTCTTTTGGATGCTCAACTTGTCCCAACCTTTATGGTGGCTCCTGTATCTTTCTTCCATCAACCTAAAAGACAATTCTTGACATCTGATTATCAACGTCATCTTCATATAATCTTTTCTTTAACTTTGTAATGATTTCAAACATGCAAAAAAAAGAATAAAAAAAGTATAATGTATGATGTTCCTATCATAGAGCTTTAACTGATGGCTAATCTTGTTTTTCCCATACTTTCACTTGCTCTCCCCATCCTCATTACTTTCCAGCAAATCCCAGATACTGTATTATTCAGCTTTAACTGAAATGAAAAATTATACCTGCAAGAGTCACCTTAAAAATATGAATCAACTAGTTTGCTTTGGGTAGGGTGATGACTGCTGGGTTTCTTCACTGTGAAGGATTATTTTTCCCTTTGCAGTTAGTATTCTTTCGGTTTATGATGTGTTCCTCGATGACCTTTTAACTAGTTGGTGAATATTTAAAGGAAAGAGCACCTAAAATGAGCTGAAATGTTAGACAAGAAAAAGAGGCTAAATAAAACTGAAGAATAGTAAAAAAAATCAAAGCCATTCTGAATGGTATGTTTGCTTTGGAAAGATGCCGAGGGATGTGATGGACAAAGAATATGGCAAGATAGGTGTAGATTTCTTTTATAGCCTTATAGCATTGAAGCTCAGAAAGAAGTTGGTTGAATAAACCTGATAGTATCTTAAATTTGTTATTCAAAAATATGGGTGGTCATTACTTTCTTGGTACTGAATCTATAGATTTGTGCCCTTTGAAAGGGGGAAGTGATTGTAAACAAGCAGGATCACTTGCTAAGGTTTATGGTAGTCTTTTTTTTTTAACTGTTGTGAGGAAGTTCCATTTTGCATAGAGACCTATTTTAATTACCTTGGCATTTTTCATCGGTATTTTTGATTACTGTTTTTGCCAGTTCAGTGGTGACAAAACTATGTGCTTGTAGTTTCTCCCCACTTCCCTAATGAAAACACATCTGGTTAGTGTGTGGAATTACAGATATATGTTGTCTTCTGTGTGTGTATATATACATACATACATTAGTGCTTGGTTCAACTTTTGATCTCATTCTTTTTTAGCTCCATTTTACCTTGTGCAGTACCCCTACAGCATTTAGCTGTCGTCTAGAGTTCTTCCCCGGGGTTTGGACCTGAGTTGAAGGGATTGCCTTATTTATTCATCCTTGCATCTAGGAATCTGGGAATCTGTTTTGATACTTAAAGGTGTTCAGTAAATGAATGGATGAATTTTGCATTTAGGCTGTATGTGATACATTACAAATTCCTATAGAATTTAATTTTGGGAGGACAAGTGCATAAATATGAAAAAATAAATTGGGCATAAGAGTGGGGGGGTTGCACCTTTAAATCCCTAAAATTCTGTTTCTGCACTCATCTTTTAGAAATAAGGCTACTTCTTTTTTTTTTTTTTTTTTTAAGATTTATTTATTTGACAGAGAGAGAGAGCGCGTAAGTAGGCATGGAGGCAGGGAGAGGGAGAAGCAGGCTCCCTGCTAAGCAGGGAGCCTGATGTGGGGCTCGATCCCAGGACCCTGGGATCATGATCCGAGCCGAAGGCAGCCGCTTAACCAACTGAGCCACCCACGTGCCCCAGTAAGACTTCATTTTTAAAACAATCTATAACCTACCTAGGATTAGGAAGGCTTATAATATAAACAAAATGATCCTCACTTTGGAAAATTTACATGACTTGAAGCAGCATAATTATCAGTAGTTCTTAAAGAGGGGAACTTGGGGCCATAAATCATTGTTGTCTTTTGGTGAAAAATAAGTTTGGGACAATATAGAAAATAATGAAAACTGTTCCCTGCCATATGCTTATTAAGATGAAAGATGAAACATACAGTGTTGAAACCTGAAACCTGGCTTACGGTTTTGTTGGGTAACCATTAATACTATCAGTTAAAAGATAATGGTGTTGTCAAAACAATTTTAAAGCCAAAGTGGAGGGGCACCTGGGTGGCTCAGATGATTGTCTGCCTTCAGCTCAGGTCATGATCTCCAGGTCCTGGGATCCAGCCCCATGTCAGGTGGGGAGTCTGCTTCTCCCTCTCCCTCTGCCTCTCCTCCTGCTTGGGCTCTCTCTGTCTCTCTCTCTCAAATGAATAAATAAAATCTTAAAAATAAAGCCAAAGTGGATTGGGGGGGGGTAGGAGTCTGGAGGGGAAAGGGCCAAGTGTGTATATTAGATGACGTGTTCTTTGGGCCCAGTTAGTTTTATCTGTTTTTAACAATCTTTCTGTAATAGCCTTTCCCACTTTTCCTCCTCCTGTTGTGATACTTGGTATAACAGTTTGG